GGTAAATACATATCAGCGGTATCACTTGACAAAGCGAGATGACTGTCCTCCTTGAATCAGGCTAGGGCAGAACACTTAGTGAAAGAAGACCCTGGGAGGGCGTGGGAAACCAGGAGAAAGGGAGCACCAGATACCAAGTGCCAAACAAATCAGTTCCACCCCTCTAACACGGATGAGACACACCACTCAATGACCTCGGCCACAGGTGAGCAAGAGCAGCCATGGCCAGTGACTGTTCTCTCGCTGCTGGGACTGCAGAAATGTCGCAAGTTAGCCCATGGACGAAATTCTTGACCAGCAGATTCAAATTGTTGCTGAATTTAAGTCATAAAGATCTTAAGGAAATTCCCGTTTTATTTATATATATGTATTTACCTAATTAGAGCAATGATCACACAATTAACATTCCTGCCATCGAAAGGGTTTCTTCTACACACTGGAATGGCTTAAGAAAAGTATTGTCTAATTTTGATTTTATTTTACACTTTCGAAAGAGATAGAGGGAACAGAGGGAAAAAAATGTGACTAAGTCCCCAACTTTGGGGTCTAGCAGGTACAACACCAGACCTCTCTGACTCAAGGTTCATCCAGATTGTTGGGAGTTTCAGCGCCCAGGGACGTCCAGGGAGACTCGAAGGCCCGCTGCGTCCCACCCCTACAGAAAGAACTCTATGGTTAATCTATCACAGTGCTCTAGCTAAAGTATATGTTTAAAACTACAGAGGGTTTCAACTTAACATCTACATTTTTAAACTGTAGCATTTCAGCAACAAATAAACTCAGAGAGCTCGTCTCAGAATTGAAATTAAAGGACTATTGCTCTGATATCTGAAAAGTCAAGCTCATGCTCTCAGCTCCTCCCCACTTGTAGGCTCAGGCAGACACATAAGGTGGTGGCGGCTCCTTGGCAGCGCCATTCACAGTGGCATCATCATACGGGGGTAACAGCACCTGAGGAGAATAAGAGAAAACAAGGATTAGCATTGAAAAGTACATGTATGTTCCCCTGAGCTCTAACTTTAATTGAACTTCTGTGCAATCAAACTTTTTCCATAACCTGTACCAATTCCAACTGTCCGGCAAGTGGCTAGACTCTGATGAGAGGCTTTTTGGTTCCTTAAGAAAGCAAACAGGAAGAAACTTTGGTCCTTACTGAGTTTCCCAAACCCTGTTCACATGTGCCTGGATGTCATGGTGCCTGGAGGGCCAGAGGGCTGTGTGTCTAGGAGTAGGAAGGAGGTAGCGGTGGCTCTGAAGAGGAAAAAGGCTCCCAGGTGTCATGTACATGTGCACACACAAGGGCAGGTGCCCGAGTGACTGCAGAGTCACTCCTGTGAGATCCAGGTGGGAGAGCGCTACACGCGAGGGCTTTGGTGTCAATGTGGACTCAAAGCCTGGCTCGGCCCAGCTTACCAGTGTGGTCTTGGCTAAGTTACTTAACCTCAATTTCCATGTCTGTAAAATAGGGATACCTGATAATTAGAGGTCTATAAAGTACCTAACACGCTGCTGGATGTACACCTGAAATGGCAGATAGTATCTGTGAATGGTTGCTGAGGAACAAATAGAACCAGTATTAATTGATAACCTCTCTGTTCACATTTCAGTAGAAGTACAATTACTTATAATTGTTTATGAACTGTCGATGTGAGAAAACATTGGCCAATTTTGGCTTTCTTAGAATAAAAAACAAAACAGAGAACACCAACTCAATATAATTAGCCTTTAAACAGTCAACTAACATTTGTTATGCACCTACTATGTGACATGCATTGTGGGTACAAGATAATTAAAGTAAAAGACAGTTCTTGCCCTTAGGAATTCATAGATGAGATGAACTAAAACCATGTCCACTTCAAGTGCTTTGTAGAAAGAGAAAGAATATTTGCAAATGAACAAAACAAAACCACAGTGTTACTCTTTCTATTATGGACATCACTTAAAGTGGTAAGTGTTTATCAATTTCATGAATTTTCATTTATCTATCCTTTAACTCCTAGAGGGACAATACTAAACATTTCTAAGTTTCTGTTCTTTTTGTCATAACCTACTGCCCCAACCAGCCTCCCGTCCCCTCGTCTCCCCTCTAACCGAACACACGCCATTACTTAGCTTTCTCTCCTCCAGTCTGGGAGATCCCTTTGGGCTGAAGCCCAGAGATATAGGGTCCGGCGTCTATTCTATGGCAAGAACTTAGGAGATGGAATAAATGACCGAATAAATGACCGAAGCATGGCCCTTGGAGAATCTATACGGTTCATTTGGTGGGGAAATGGAACCTGGAATGCTAGGCAGAGGGCATGGATACTGCTTACGGTCCAATCTGGAGATGGAAACCACCCAGTAATTTGAACAGAGAAAGTATGATAACAAATTATTAACAGGGGATTGGAGGAGAACTAGCTAAGCGGGGAAAAAACAGACTCTAATGGATATTAGTGCTGAGTGAGGGTACACAAGGACGACCAACTTGGAAAGGGGCCTCCCTGAGCCTGGGAATCGAACATCGCTGGAGGGGCTGGGGTTGGTAGAAAAGTTTTCTGGGTTGAACCAGGCCAGAGCTGGTTCACAAGCAGCAGGCTGAGGCTGGTATGTAAAGAACCACCTGCCGGGATGCTGGGAAGCTGCTGCAAGGTGCTGTCCACCTTCTAGAAGCTGTTCGCGGGGAGGTGCCACGTGCCCTGGAAACTAAGAGGGTGTATGTGCTGGGAGGACTGTCAAGAGGCGTCGCTGCTGCTGTCCCCCATTTGCCCCAGGGGGCGCTGCCAAGAGGATCCAAATACTCTGCAGGTGCACAGAGGAACCAGGAAAAGAAAGCCTCTCCCCTCCTCCAGTGACTTCCAGTGACTTCCACTGACAAGGCATCATGGGGTGGCTGCAGAGGGGAAATATTTACGAGGCCCAGCTCCAATTAGGTTGAGAAGGACTTTGGAGCTGCAAAGTGGTAAGTGGATAATTGTCACAGCACCACACGAGCTATGTTGACAGGCCTGAGAATTGGTCTTGTCTGCTTCACAGCCTCTGTTCCCAAAAGAAATGGTGACATTGTGCCTGTGGCCTAAGTACTTCACACTTCAAGCATTACCCAAGGTCCAGAGTCGTGGCGAATGTTCAGCTGTTGCCCTGCCCAAAGGGAAAGCAGCACCCACGATAACTCGGTACAGGCCCTGTCTGAGGCGAGGCAACGTTTCTACAGTTCTTCCCATGAAAGGAAGCCATCGCACTGAGTATGGCAGGGCACTCGGCAATGGCGACCCAAACCTGAACATACCTCACCGCCTATAAAGGAACTGACAGTCTAACTTGGGGCAGAGATTGGTGAAACAGGCAAACTGAGCATGACCAATGTGTGGGTGTGGACAAGATGTTTAAGAAGAACAGATAGGGACCACTAATTTAGGTGGGAGGGGAAGGAAGCCCTCTCAGGAGGATAAGTAGGATCAGGCATAGAGTGAAGAGGAAGATGCTGCAGGTCGAGAAGAAAGAGCACAGGTAAGGGAGGGAAGCTTGAAAACAGAGCACCCTCTGGGAATCCAAGGATCTGCAGCGGCGAACACTGCTGCGGAGATGAAGTTGGAAAGACAGGCGAGAGTCGGAGCTTGGAGAGTTCGCGCATCACCTGAAGGGGCTGCATCCAGTATCCAGCAGTGGCGTCTCCACCAGGAATCCTAAAAGTCTCAGCTTGAGCTGAGGAAAAATACGTATTCTCTACAACAAAGCCACAGATCTCTCTGCAGTGGCATGTTTGATTTTAAAATTGAGTCTCCACCACGCATGTGTGTGCACGCATTAGATATGGTAACTTACTATAACCAGGAAAAACAGCTGTCATCAGCACTAGAATATTAAATTCTGCATGAATGAGCTTCAGCGTTATGTTCCATAACCTTGTTAAACAATCAACTGATTCATATCTATCATTGGAGAATTATCCTAAAACATAGTGGAGCTACTTAAAAGTAAAATCAGCCATCATATCCAACTTTTTTTTTTAACTGAGCAAAATGTATTACTCAAACCCTCCAATGTGTTCATAGATTAAACACAAAATTTTCTTGGGGGAAAAAAAAAAGTGCCAGAAATTTGCCTTTTGTTTGTCAAAAATTTACTTTCACATTACGTTTGGCAGTTTGTCATTACTTCTTGCTATTTATTTTCAAACTTCTTTTAAAGTTTCATTTCACATCAGTATTTTAACATCCTAATGGCTTTTCCACTCAAATATTCTACTGCCTTGGGCCCTATATCCAAAGTCAAGATGCCTGGTGAAGAGTTTCTCCTTTCATAAGGTTTCTGACACTTTCACTTGTCCTCACGTCCCAAGTACCACATACTAAATGCCGACTGTAAAATATTCACACGGCTCGTTCCTCATGCTACTGGGCTACTTTCAATGAAAAGCTCTCCAAATGAAATTGGTTTAAAATTCTGAAGGGACAGCATCATCTTTTTATTTTTAACCTAAATGATGTTAATATTATTGATGATTTTAAGGAAGGGTGAAGTAAAGACTGCTATATTGTTTCTATTATAGTCTAGCTGAATAATATTGGCTGAAAACACTTGCTATTGTCCTAAGATCGACAAAGTATATTAGGGAATCTGAGAAAACAACTATCAGGTCATTTAAGTTAGAAAATGCCAATTCAAATGCCATACATTGGTAAAAACTCAATTATCTTGACATTTTTTAGAAGATGACATTCAGTTAAATCCAGTCTTTCATTTTTTAATAATTTAATTATTCACAATGAATAAATGGAAAATAATCTCTGAGGACTAAGAATACAGGTCATATGCTACTTCAATCTGCCATTGCCTGGTGAACAGCAGCTACTCAATGAGTAGATAAACACAGAAGCATCACAATCACAAATCACAGACTATACTTCAACAATATTCAATACAATCAAATTCTAAGTATAGTCCCTGGAAGTTTGTTTTCACGGGATCTCAATTACAGAGTGACCATATGATGGTACATTCTCTTCCACACAGTTGGAAAAGCCCCTCTGCCAATGACCCCAGAAGGCACCTGTTCATTAGGAAGATTAGCATCTCTCTATAGTGCCTCTTTAATTGGGAGTTGCCATGTAGGTGATAACACGCTGGTAGGAAAGCAGCTCCTCATTCACTTCAATTCAACTCAACAAATATTCAGAGTGCTGCCAGGAGAAACTTATTCTTCTTAGCTACATCAATATATAGAACAGTTGGAGAGGAAAATAAATGAACAAAGATAGCAAAATGTAACATCTTGGAATAGAAGTGATTCCAACTGGTCAAAAGTTCACGTCATTAAAATTTTGGAAACTTTCATTCTATCAAATATTAAGAAACACTCAACAAGAATTATTTATTGTTAAAAACAGGAAATGTTGGAAGCAATCAAAGTGTCCTACGATAGATGATTGGATAAAGAAGCTGTGGTACATATATACGATGGAATATTACTCAGCCATAAGAAGAGATGAAATACTGCCATTTGCGACAACATGGATGGACCTCGAGATAATCATGCTAAGGGAAATAAGCCAGACAGAAAAAGTTGAAAATCACATGATATCACTTATATGTGGGATATAAACCTAAAGGGAAGGAGGAGGTAGACGGGGTCAAGGTGGTCAAATATGTGGTGACAGAAAGAAATCTAACTATGGCAGGCGAACACAGAGTGTAAATATATATATGCCTTATTGTTAAAGTATATAGCTGAAACTTATTGAATTTCGTTAACCAATGTCATCATTAAAATTAATTAATTTAAAAAATAGGAAATGTTTGGGTACTATGGTTAGAGTTGGACTTTTACTGTAATATTAGAGTTAATCTGTTAAAGGCTTATTCGGAATTCTACAGTTGCTAGGATTACATTTCTGAAAGAAGTATATAAAAGTTACATAAACATCTTCAGACATTCAAAAAATTACATGCAAATTAGTTTGTACATT